CTGGCATTGGCTCTGTCAAACATGAGAGAAGCTTCTAGCAGCTTCTCACAGAAGCCACCCCTGTAGCACCCCCACTAACAAAACTTGGCCACACAAACCCAGTACACCAAGAGATTGTGTATCTCTTCTGTATCATGAACTGTGATTAGGGTTTTTTTCATCTATTGTTTTGGATCTGTTCTAGTAGTTGACACAGGTCATCATGTTCTAGTAGTTTCTTCACCAATGTAGGATTCATTCTGATGGGGCTAGGCAGTAAATCTTGACTCAATGTATACTTAGATTGTAACAATTGATAAAACATAACAGGAGCTGAATAATTAAAGTTGCATGCCATAATTTTAGTGAAGCTACAAACACAAATATTTGAATGATTGCTTGTATCCACAGTTCTGATACCTATGAGTATACAATCGGAAAGGGTTCTCATACAAATACATCCTTTTCCAATATATACAAGTGTAGTTTCAGGGGTTTTGTTGGGATATATTGCCAAATGACAAACATTTTGTTCAGTGTCAAGACAAATGTCTTGGGCTTTGATGGTGTTGCTCTCACAAATAAATCCTTGTTGTTCCCATATAACACATACGTTAATGTCAACAGTTTGCCATTTGTTTCCATTTCATTGGGCCCATACTCTATGTACTAATGGATAAAGTATAGCTCCATTGTGATTTAATCCCAGCACAATGATTGGGTATATTGTGTATACGAAGCATTGTCTATTGTTAGGACAAAAGCTGTGGCCTTATTGTTGACGGAGTCATAAGTAAAATTGACTGAGTACCACTAGGATTGGAATTCTCTGTCAAATTTAGTAGCATTATCCCAAACTACCTTTTGAATTTCAGTGGGTAAGGTGCCCTCTTCACGTACTCTTGTCATAGCTGCTGCCATAGATTGCATCCACAGTTGAGTTTGGATACTGACATGGTCTAACCGCAGCCGGCAGCTGCTCGCTCACCCCTCCCCTGGTGGGATGGGGAGGAGAACGGGAAAACAAAGGCAAAGCCTCGTGGGTTGGGATAAGGACAGTTTACTGGGACAGCAAGGGAGAGGGAAACAATCAACAACAGTACTGATAACATATTCACAATGGGTGATAACAGAAAACAATTTACCGATCCCAGGACTGACCGACCAGACGCTCAGCCCGTCCCAGAGCCACGCCGAGCCCGCCCCTGCCCGACTAGCCCCCATTTATGGTGAGCAGGAGGTCACATGGTATGGAATAGCCCCTGGCCAGCTTGGATCACCTGTCCTGGCTCCTTGTGAAATTAACTCTATCCTTGCCAGAACCAGGACACTACAACAAA